GCCACCATAGAACGGGTCTCACTTAAGCGACAGAATTGTTTTGAAAATTTTCAATTTCCTTCCAAATGGTGGAGGGTATTAAAAAGCCCGGCCGAATTTAGCTACTTTTTTACTTGTTGTAATTATTTTTAGTTCATTTACAAGGTTTACATAAGGTCTGCCAAGAAGACAACTTTTGACAACAATTTGACAATAAACTTGTTATTGTGATTTGACTCCCTTTGAATTTCAAATTACAGTATGTCTTTTGACGGCAAACTTGGCTTACTGCCTGACCTTATATATGCCATTGTTTATTTATTGTAGGCAAAATTATCTTTACCATTAACCAGTAAGGTACACGAACTTTTAAAGAATTATTTATAACTTAAATATTATTTAATCCTATTGTTACTGTCCCAATTGTTTCTGTCAAAGGTAGTAAAACTAGGTGCACACATTTATAAAATTACTAGCTGGCCCGGTCCGCGTTGCCGGCCCGTAGTTTTTGTCTATTATGCATATTTTCCCAAGCATAATTATTCACAGATATGACTGATATAAGTGTTCACGCACATGTCGATTTAAAGTGTTTTAAAATACCTGTACCCATTTTTAACCAGTGGGCTTCAATATTTAAACCGTGGGCTTCAACTGTGTGGATGTGCTATACAAATCTATTAAAAAGTATATATCAATCTTATCGCCATATAAGGGATCAAATTAATTTTTAATATGGTAAAAATCGTAGCAAAATCTTCCAGTCAAATGAGCAGTAATTTGGAATTTGCTGTATTTTGTATACTACATAATTGAGGGATGAATGATATAAGAATAGCCAAAGTTAATTACTTTTTTAAACCCATTAGCAACTTAGATTGTGCATTAGAGTCCTCATAAGTCCCCCTAACCATGTCAGTCTGTTTGTCCGCCAAAAGGTGGACTTGAGAGGGTATTATAACATGGATAAAAATTCTAAAATTTGTAGATATGTTGAAATTTTAGTGTAAGATTTTCACCCCCCTAATACGCATTATTAGCCAAATTCTTTGAAATGTTGTTAAATTAGGAGGTACCTTCTTTATATAGGCACTACTCCGAAACATCGACCTACATTGAAAACTTTCTTCTACCCCTTATAATCCAAGATGACAAATAGAGGTCAAATCAAAAATATAGCAGAACAATATAGCATGTCATAGCATTTCGCGTGATTTAAATAAGTAAAAATAGTTTTATCCACCTCATAATTGAGGGCAGAATGATAAGATGGGAATTAATTTTATTTGCCATTAAAATTGTAAGTTGGAGACCCCATAAAGTCCATATTTTTCATCATAGTATAATTCAATGACGATTCAACAAATATTCGGTCCCGTGCTACTTTCTTATAGTTGTAATTTGTTCATGTTTCCACAATTTATTTCATATGGATGCACATCCCAAATCTACGTTCCCAACCAATATTCTCTTGGGGGTTAAAAATTCAATAGAATACAAAATTTTCTTTTCTGACCACACATTAGATGTGAAAGTGGACTTGGGGATACTCCAATGTGGGGACTTTGCTTAAATAAATTGCTATGTGGCAATTATCTGTATGATGGTTCCCTACCCCAGGGTGGCATAAATAAAATTTTTTAGCCAAATCAATTGATGAATGTGATCAATACCAATATGGGCCCTACTCTGAAAATTTCAAATTTTATGCGAAGAGGTTATCTACCCCCTTAGAAACAAAAATGTCAAATAAGGGCCATAAAATGAAAAAAGTGGCCGGCCAAGACCCCAAAAATAACTTAAATCATAGATGGTTATATAAATATGAAATCGGGTTGTTCCCTTATCCGTGAGTTATGATCGATATAAAGACCTGCAAAAGTGATTTTAGGTATTTTGAATGTTTGGGAAGAATTTCTGGAAGGATATAAAACCTTTTCTTACTAAAAGTCCCATTCGCTCTACTATTTTGCACCTTTTATTTCAATATTGGTATATTACTTATTATTCTCCCAAAGAATTTTGCATTTTGAGCTCTCATTGGACGGATCATTGCCACGCTTTGAAATGAGTCCCATTAAGCTTTTTCGGTCATTTTTGTTTGTTTAAATGTGTTCGCATCTTCCAGCTAACCCACGATGTAGGCCCTGGAGTTGAAAGGTAGATGTCAGTTAACATCCTATTTCGCACTTATTTAATTTTTTTAGTGAAAAATTATTCTTTATTTTGTTCACAAAAAATCCACTGAATTCAATATGATAATACAAATTGAAAAAAAAATTGACAAAAAAAAGAATAACAAATTGAAAAAGTCTTCAACTTTTTCGCTGATTTTTTACAGCAAATGTTTTAAGATCCTTCCTTACAAAGTTTGTCAATAGAATGTACTATTACTTTAAAATTCGATTCCATTGAAAATGTTTTTTTGATTTTTGCAATGAGATTTCTTTTTCATGATTTTTCAGCGATTTAGAAAAAGTAATTATCTTTTAACTTTGGTGTGACCGCGTTAAATTATTTCGATATCATCTATTCCGTTTCGCCACCACATAATTCGCTACTACACTTCCATGTAACCCGCCATCAATTTCAGTTCTCAAGAAATCAAGTCAATTAAATAAATTGGTATAAATATTCGAATTCAAAAATAAAATATAAAAAAACACTACAAATGTACATTAGAAAAAAGTAAGTGAAAATGGAAAAAAAATCATGCAAAATAAAACATTACTATTGTACATTTGAAAAGTCAAAATGAAAATGTTAATATATCACATTTGTACGCGATTTTTTTTGGATATTATCCTTTTCGGAGAGTAGACAACTCCGAATTTGTGTGAATCGTTAAAATTAATCCAGCGGTTCTTAAGTTATAAGCGTAGTAACTAACACAACTTACATTTATATATATAGATTTTGTTTTCAGTTTTATACCTATTACTAGGTGAAACCCGTGCGCTTCGCCACCCCTTTTGGTTTTATATGCATTCAAAATGTTATATTTTGTGGTGTAGAAATTCAAAAAACGTAATTATTATAATACTTAAATGCGTAAACAAACAAATAGCTCGGTCTACCAACGCGTGAACATGCCAGGAATAGCTGACCATGAAAAAGCAAAACTGGTATGTTTTTCATACCAAAATCTTTTTAAGTTGAGTGAAATTTCTGTTGTTATTAGTGAATTCGAGCTAGCAACATATTTCCCCGCAATAATCGTAGGGTATGTGTGCCTAAGTTCGGCATGTCCCAGTAGTCGGCACTTTTTATATTTAACCCAGAAAATGAAACTATTATAACTAAATGTATTTTCTTTACTTCAAATATATTGTCAGCTATTTTTGTGCACAATTTTGCTAAGAAAAGATGATTTATTCTAATAAAAATTAAATTTTTGTCTGTGAAGGTCCTCAACAATTCATATTCATAAGAAAAGTACAATAAAGACGTCGAATCAGTTCAACTAAACAAAAATATGATATTTTAATGAATTAATTTATTATTATTAATTATTCTTGCAAAAAAATTGGTATGCCGACTGTTGGAACATGACATACCGACAATTGGGAAGTGGTGCCGACTACTGGTAAAAAAGCATTGTTTTAATAAAACTACAAATTTATGAAATTTAATAAAAAGTTATTAAAACTTTATTTATTATTGCAAAAACTGTACAAAATTTTGAATCTGAATAAATTAACCTTGTAATAATTGAAATGTTCCACTCAGAATGGTGAGCGATTAAAAACGCGAAAATCCTAAAAGTGCCGACTACTGGTACACTTACCCTATCGTCAATTAAATTGTTGTGTAGTTTTTTACTGTTAGCCTAAAACCATTGCAAAAGGCGTTGTGGGTCAACGCTTAATAAAATCATATCCCAATTTGAAACGATTTCAATATAATTTGACAAAATTTACATTTACAGCAAATTCTTGTATTTCTCATATTTCATTGAAATATGGGAGCTATATCCAAATCTTAATTGATTTCTAATTAATTCGTGAAATTATTATTGTAACCAGCGTATTTAATGCATGAAATACGTTAAATAGGCCGAAAATATATCTGGAAGCTGTATCCAAATCTGAACCGATTTCAATATAATTTGGCTAATTTAGTTTTTTCCAAATTCCATTACGCTTCCCAAATTTGGACTCTGTATCGGAATCGATCAATAGATATGTGCATATAAAATGTATATTTTAGGGAGGTACCTCCGATTTGGATGCTTTATCTCCAAATTCAAGCGGAATTTAAACATTTTCCTCTTCTATAGATATAGATTATTGACATATCTTGAAGATTTAAAATCGAAGCCGCCAACTTTATATAATCCGCCAAATAATCGTTTGGCGAAAAGCCCGGTAGAAACATATTAATTTTTTTAAAAACACTGTTAACCCTATCAATCTGTTCTCCAAATCACATGGTTTCTTAATTTGCAGCCCACCATCTCTTTTATCCGCTAAATATAATCGGAAGCCATTAACACATTAACTCGTGGATTTAATAGTAGATCGAATGCAAAATCATGAAATTTAGTTTTGTGTCAATTCTATCTCCCAATTATTTTGCGAACTTCTCGGAAAATAGTGGACTTCTATTTATTCAAATGTCGTGAAGATCGGACAATAATTGTGACCTGCAGAGTGACTTTATATTAACACGGACTGACGAAGGGCACACAAAGTAAGATCGACTCCGCTCAACGAGATTGGAAGATCGATGACATGATAGATCTAGGACCAATATATCGAGGTGTTACAAACTCATTCGCCCAATCAAACTTGTAATACACGCAACACATAGTATTATGGAGCATATAAAGCTTTTTCAGATTTTTCCTTATACATTTTATCAATGTTTTACTGTATCTTTTTATTATTCCAGCATTTTGAACTTTGAACGATCAATTGAAATAAAACAGATAAATATTTTAATCAATGTGATTTCTTTACAGCTATTCGAATTATTAAAAAACAAGTAAATAAAAGCTGGTGAAATCATTTCAAAAATGGTTTTAGAAAACTGACCAGTTTTAAATAACGTTCAATATTAACAAGTACATAAATTGGAAATTTTCTCAGTTCTATTGTAACAGAGTACAAAGTAGTGCGATACAATTTACTTTTGCCGTCGATCATTTGAGCGGTGTAAAAATATGATACGAGTTATATATGTTTGTGTTTTGTTTGTCGCTCTGACAAAATCATTAGTTGCTGAAAAATATCTCACGAAAAAGCGTATGTAAAGTTGAGATTTTACGAAACGTACATTGTTTTCATTTCTTTGTTTTACAGCGGATTTTATCAATCCTTGCAAACAAACGGATCCAAGTTTTAGTCAATGTTTTGCAAAGAGTTTCCAAGCTATTTATTCGGAATATAAAGATGGTAAGTCGTAGAAGAATGTGGGAAAAATATACTCCCAATCAGATGCCTTACTTTGTTTTCCAGCCAAACTAATTCAAATAATTGTCATCCATAGTGGCTAATGTAAAGGGACAGAAACGTCTTATTAATATTATTATTTTTATTTTACAGTCCACTTTGAAAGGGAGGGTATATTTGTCATTCCGTTTGTTACATCCCTAAATATCCGTCGTAGACCGCATAAAGTGTATATATTCATCGATATATCACGATACAGCCCACATTATTTGACGTAGAGCTTCAAAATTTGGCCCAACAATTTGTATTGTGACTAGGATGGTTGGTATTGAAAATGAGATATATCGGTCCACGTTTTGGTATAGCCGCCATGTAACGGTACCTCCCGATATTCAGATTGTTGGCGATTATCGTCACATTGTTTCACGGATTTGTCTAACATTTTGTAGATTATAATTGAATCTAGCTTCGGTGTCGAAACATTGTATGTATAGTTCACGTTTTTTGTATAACCGCCGTTGTTTAACGGATTTGTCTAAAAGTTTGTATTGGTAAATCATAATGGGTTCTAGCTCCGGTGGCTGAACATTGAATATTTAAGTCCAAGTTTTCCTATAGCGCACACATAACGGTACCTCCCAATATTCGGTATTTTGATGATTTTTGCACACTTTTTTCCACGGATTAGTCTAAAAATTTGTATTTGTAAGTCATAATGGGTTCTAGCTCCGGTGGCAGAACATTGAATATTTTTGTCCACGTTTTCCAATAGCGCACACATAACGGCACCTTCCAATATTCGGTATTTTCATAATTTTTGCACACTTTTTCCACGGATTTGTCTAAAAATTGCTATTTTGGTAATCCTAGTCACGTTTACCACGAAATTGTTTCAAATTTTATATTTAAGAAGATTTGGTAGATGACAATCCTTGAATTGTCTATGGACCTTCCCGTTGGCCCCCTATAAAGGCCTCACCCACTTTGCGGTTTTCTGAAATATTAACATCATTAACCATTTAAAGTGGAACACGTTTGAACTTAGATACTTTTATATAAAAATGTTTTCTTTAGCCAGTGGTGGTGGGTATTAAAAGTTCGGCCCGGCCGAATTTAATGATAATCTGCATAGAATCGCATTCTGAGTCGATTTATGCATGTCCGTCTGTCCGTCCTGTCCATGTATTTTTGTAAACAAAGTACAGTTCGCATTTATTGCCCGATCCAGATTAAATTTTGCACAAATCATTTGTTTGGCCCAACAACGAACCATATTGAAATTGGAGACAATCGGTCAAAATTTAGATATAGCTCCCATATATATTGTTCATCTGATTTGTTATGTTTGTCCTCCGCAGCCGTAATATGCTGTAACAACAATATTTGGGAAAATATGTCAAATACAGTCAGAAAAATATATTTGCTAAATTTTAACGATATCGGGTCAGATTTGGATATAGCTCCCATATATAACTTCATCAAATTTGCTTTTATTGTGAACCAACGTGTAGCCCAAATAGGATGGAATTTGGTACTTACGACAGAATTGAGTCTAGAATCTAGTATGTCAAATTTGGTGAAGATCGGTTCAGATATAGCTATAGCTCCCATATATATTGTTCATCCGATTTGTTGTATTTGTTACCCACAGCCGTATTATGCACTCCGTAACAACGATATTCAGGGAAATATATCAAATACAGCTCAGAAATATCTTTGTCAAATTTTATCAAGATCGGTTCAGATTCAAGTTAATTGTGCACAAAATCATAGCTTGTATGATTTAATTCTCACAAAAAAACTATTAATTGTTATGTGAAGCTCTACTAAATATGCAAAGTGGTGTAGGGTATCATAAAGTCGGTCCGCCCGACTTTAAGACTTTCTTTACAGGTTTTTACTTGTTATTCTGTAATTTCTGTAAAAGTTATGTTATTATTCTCCATTGCATAGGTATACCAGGCTTAAAAAATTTTGGATCTATTGATCCCCTAAGTGTGAAGCGTGTCAAAATAGCGGAAGACGGCAATGGTCCAGTGGCAATTAACATTGAATTTAACAATATGGACGTAATTGGATTTAGTAAGACCACCATCAAAGATGCACGGTGGGTAATGGGCTTATTATATCACATTATGACATTAACTTATATCCTCCTACCTTTCCTTCTTTCAGTTTTGACCAATCAAAATTAACAATCAAAATAAAAATTTATGTGCCGAAAATTATTATCAAATCAGATTACAGTATGAACGGGCGTATATTGACCTTGCCATTGAACGGTAATGGAAAATCTCATCTGGAAATGGGTATGCACGACATTTAGAATACCCACCTCGGCCCAGAGTGTAGTTAATGCCTTTGTAACCATTTCAGAGAACATGGAATTGGATACCATATGCAAGCTGAAACGTCGTGAGGAGGATGGTGTGAAATTTGCCGACGTCGATAAAGTACTTATGAATATCAAAGTGAGTGGATTTCATGTTCAATTGGATAATCTTTTCAATGGCCAGGAGGTTTTGGAACAAACAGCCAATAATCTGTTCAACGACAATTGGAGTGAACTTTTCGAAGCATTGCGACCTTCAATAACAGAAACGATAAGATCTGTAACGGAAGATCGTTTCAAAAAAGTTTTCGCCTTTTTGCCGGTTAAGTATTTCATTGAAGACTATGAATAATTATTATCTTTGATTGGCATATTTTTGTTTAAACTATTAAAAAAATTGCAATAAAAAGTATTTCATTCATGAAGGATCACAAACAAAGAGGTCGGAGACCTAAATAGGTATATATTGGTGGATCTAGGACACTATACTCTACAGTATATATACAGTCTGACACTGTAAAGTGTATATACAGTCTGACACGCTTCTGAAAACAAAAACCCAAATTGATCATACCACCATCATACCATACAGTATGTAGAGTATATTAAGTCTGTCATTCGGTTTGTAACACCTGTAACAATTTCAACGCAAATTTGCTGTAAATTGGCAGCATATGCTCCCATTATGTAAGAAATATCCATGCATAGAACTGTCACGTAGGTCAGACATTCCGGAAATGTTTCAATTTTGCAATTTGAAGTCCCTAATGAATACTTTGATGATGATAGAAAATTGCACATACACGGTGAGATAAAAAACACTGCAACAAAGTCAAACGCCATACTTTTTAAATGTTTTTTTTAATTTTATTGAATGAAAGCAAAAAATGTCGGAAATAGTATCAAATTTTAGAATAAGTTTAGATTTGTTCGAATTGGCCACCTTTGGCACGAATTATGGCCTTCAAACGGCCAATGAAACCGTCACACGCTGCCCGAATGTTGCTCTGCGATATTTTGGCCCATTCCATGCGAAGCGCGTCTACGGTCTGCGGCCAAAATGTTTGCCCAAGGCTTTAGAATATTTTCGCAATAATATTCGGTATTTATTCTGATGCCACGGTGGATTAATACGAGAGGAGAGCGGTCATCGGCTGTTATGGCGGCCAACACCATCATCATGGCCGGCGCTTGAGTTCTGGTGGCCAACCGAAGGCTCACATTTTCAGATGTCCTCTTTGGAAAGTAAACACGATCATTGATCATCATTTGTTTACAAACTGCTGTTTTCTCATCGAAGAAAACCAAATTCGGCAGTTCACCACTTTCGGCCAAGCGAAGCAACTCTTTAGCTCTTTTGAGTCTATTTCTTTCTGTTGCGGTGTAAGTTCTGCACTTTTTGGAATTTCAATTTTTCATTTTTCAATATTTTGTCAAATGGAATATTGCGATATCCACTTCCTTGACGTCAGGCTACGCTACCAGTATCACGGTAACGAGCGATGGTACGAGACACAAAAATTTATTCACATTTAAATACTGGAGTGGAGGACGATAGCCACTTGTGGTTTTCCAGACAAATTTAAAGAAATCACACTATCACGCTTGAATTCCATCACGAATAATTTTTTTCCTGGAAAATTCTAACCAAAATGCTGTTGAACGCTTATAAGCAATATAACGAGCTATCACTAGAATAATTGTACCAGCTGTCGGACGAATGGCTTAGAAATGAAGGCATTCTGAAGTTGGTTGCAGTTTTTTCATCTCACCCTGTAAATGTCCACGTCTTCGTATAGCCCCCATATAACGGTAATTCCCTATATTCGGTATTTTGATGATTTCAGCGACTTTATTCACCAGAATTATTTCACATTTCGTAACGGGTGCCACAGCCTGCGACTGGCCCATGTCTTCGTATAGCCCCCATACAACTGTTTTCCCTGATATTGAGTATATTCATGATTTTAGTTACATCATTCAACGGAATTGTATTAAATTCCGTATTTGAAGGAATTTGAATATCGTAATGATCTATGATGAAAATTACATTTTACAGGTCCTCGTCTTCGTATAGGCCCAATATAACGGTAACTCCATATATTCAATATTTTTATGATTTTAGCAGTATTTTTTAAAGGTGTGTAGGGTAGAGATTTAAATCTGGTTTTTCAAATATGTGCAAAAATGTAAGAAAAGTATTAAACGGAAATTTGGTTTATATGGGGGGGACAGAGTTGTATTGGGATAACTGTTCCAAACCAAATACATAAAATTTTATTTTATTTCGAACTACGAAAACTTTATTCAGTTTGGGAAGTTCATATAAAGAGGTGTCCTGGAAATATGTGCTAAGTGTAAGACTTGTACAAAATTGTACTGAATTTAGTACAATTTTAGTTTGGTGAATGGATAAAGATGGAAATTTAAAATATTGAATTGGGGCTTCTGCTGGTTGATGGGCTACTTTTTTACTTGTTGTAATTATTTTTAGTTCATTTACAAGGTTTACATAAGGTCTGCCAAGAAGACAACTTTTGACAACAATTTGACAATAAACTTGTTATTGTGATTTGACTCCCTTTGAATTTCAAATTACAGTATGTCTTTTGACGGCAAACTTGGCTTACTGCCTGACCTTATATATGCCATTGTTTATTTATTGTAGGCAAAATTATCTTTACCATTAACCAGTAAGGTACACGAACTTTTAAAGAATTATTTATAACTTAAATATTATTTAATCCTATTGTTACTGTCCCAATTGTTTCTGTCAAAGGTAGTAAAACTAGGTGCACACATTTATAAAATTATTTTGTTTTCAGTTTTATACCTATTACTAGGTGAAACCCGTGCGCTTCGCCACCCCTTTTGGTTTTATATGCATTCAAAATGTTATATTTTGTGGTGTAGAAATTCAAAAAACGTAATTATTATAATACTTAAATGCGTAAACAAACAAATAGCTCGGTCTACCAACGCGTGAACATGCCAGGAATAGCTGACCATGAAAAAGCAAAACTGGTATGTTTTTCATACCAAAATCTTTTTAAGTTGAGTGAAATTTCTGTTGTTATTAGTGAATTCGAGCTAGCAACATATTTCCCCGCAATAATCGTAGGGTATGTGTGCCTAAGTTCGGCATGTCCCAGTAGTCGGCACTTTTTATATTTAACCCAGAAAATGAAACTATTATAACTAAATGTATTTTCTTTACTTCAAATATATTGTCAGCTATTTTTGTGCACAATTTTGCTAAGAAAAGATGATTTATTCTAATAAAAATTAAATTTTTGTCTGTGAAGGTCCTCAACAATTCATATTCATAAGAAAAGTACAATAAAGACGTCGAATCAGTTCAACTAAACAAAAATATGATATTTTAATGAATTAATTTATTATTATTAATTATTCTTGCAAAAAAAATTGGTATGCCGACTGTTGGAACATGACATACCGACAATTGGGAAGTGGTGCCGACTACTGGTAAAAAAGCATTGTTTTAATAAAACTACAAATTTATGAAATTTAATAAAAAGTTATTAAAACTTTATTTATTATTGCAAAAACTGTACAAAATTTTGAATCTGAATAAATTAACCTTGTAATAATTGAAATGTTCCACTCAGAATGGTGAGCGATTAAAAACGCGAAAATCCTAAAAGTGCCGACTACTGGTACACTTACCCTATCGTCAATTAAATTGTTGTGTAGTTTTTTACTGTTAGCCTAAAACCATTGCAAAAGGCGTTGTGGGTCAACGCTTAATAAAATCATATCCCAATTTGAAACGATTTCAATATAATTTGACAAAATTTACATTTACAGCAAATTCTTGTATTTCTCATATTTCATTGAAATATGGGAGCTATATCCAAATCTTAATTGATTTCTAATTAATTCGTGAAATTTATTATTGTAACCAGCGTATTTAATGCATGAAATACGTTAAATAGGCCGAAAATATATCTGGGAGCTGTATCCAAATCTGAACCGATTTCAATATAATTTGGCTAATTTAGTTTTTTCCAAATTCCATTACGCTTCCCAAATTTGGACTCTGTATCGGAATCGATCAATAGATATGTGCATATAAAATGTATATTTTAGGGAGGTACCTCCGATTTGGATGCTTTATCTCCAAATTCAAGCGGAATTTAAACATTTTCCTCTTCTATAGATAGATTATTGACATATCTTGAAGATTTAAAATCGAAGCCGCCAACTTTTATATAATCCGCCAAATAATCGTTTGGCGAAAAGCCCGGTAGAAACATATTAATTTTTTTAAAAACACTGTTAACCCTATCAATCTGTTCTCCAAATCACATGGTTTCTTAATTTGCAGCCCACCATCTCTTTTATCCGCTAAATATAATCGGAAGCCATTAACACATTAACTCGTGGATTTAATAGTAGATCGAATGCAAAATCATGAAATTTAGTTTTGTGTCAATTCTATCTCCCAATTATTTTGCGAACTTCTCGGAAAATAGTGGACTTCTATTTATTCAAATGTCGTGAAGATCGGACAATAATTGTGACCTGCAGAGTGACTTTATATTAACACGGACTGACGAAGGGCACACAAAGTAAGATCGACTCCGCTCAACGAGATTGGAAGATCGATGACATGATAGATCTAGGACCAATATATCGAGGTGTTACAAACTCATTCGCCCAATCAAACTTGTAATACACGCAACACATAGTATTATGGAGCATATAAAGCTTTTTCAGATTTTTCCTTATACATTTTATCAATGTTTTACTGTATCTTTTTATTATTCCAGCATTTTGAACTTTGAACGATCAATTGAAATAAAACAGATAAATATTTTAATCAATGTGATTTCTTTACAGCTATTCGAATTATTAAAAAACAAGTAAATAAAAGCTGGTGAAATCATTTCAAAAATGGTTTTAGAAAACTGACCAGTTTTAAATAACGTTCAATATTAACAAGTACATAAATTGGAAATTTTCTCAGTTCTATTGTAACAGAGTACAAAGTAGTGCGATACAATTTACTTTTGCCGTCGATCATTTGAGCGGTGTAAAAATATGATACGAGTTATATATGTTTGTGTTTTGTTTGTCGCTCTGACAAAATCATTAGTTGCTGAAAAATATCTCACGAAAAAGCGTATGTAAAGTTGAGATTTTACGAAACGTACATTGTTTTCATTTCTTTGTTTTACAGCGGATTTTATCAATCCTTGCAAACAAACGGATCCAAGTTTTAGTCAATGTTTTGCAAAGAGTTTCCAAGCTATTTATTCGGAATATAAAGATGGTAAGTCGTAGAAGAATGTGGGAAAAATATACTCCCAATCAGATGCCTTACTTTGTTTTCCAGCCAAACTAATTCAAATAATTGTCATCCATAGTGGCTAATGTAAAGGGACAGAAACGTCTTATTAAT